CGCATACCAGTCGTCGGCTTCCATCGCGGCAGTGGTAGTGGTGGTAGTGGTGGTGGTGGTAGTAGTAATAGTAGTAGTAGTAGTAGTAGTAGTAGTAGTAGTAGTTGTAATAGTTAGAGGGAGTAACCAGCCAAAAAACACATTAGCTTTACAACACAAATTGACATCCAAGAAATCAATGCACTGTCATCAAGAAAAATGCAGCTGTCTGACACGGCCTCAAGGCTTACAGGTGGGCTTCACAGCTCTCTAGCTTCTCAGGGGCTTTTTGTGTAATTCATGATCATATCGAAACGCAAAGACGCGCGGGCACGCTATATCCCAAAAAAGGCGGGTCAGAAGATTTCGTGGCAAACTTGCTTTAGCAGGCGTAGTCGTGGCAGTGGTAGCGTAGTAGTCAAGTTGCTGGTGGTAGCTTACGTAATGATACTATCGTTTGCACTGTTTGCACTAATACTCGAATTAGTGCTAGTACTGGTAGTGTTAAACAACGAGAATTGGGAAGGAGGAACAGTATTTCATAGCGTTGCGGTCGAAACGATGACAGTCGTCAGTGTCATTCTTGACGATTATGTCAACAACATCAACTTGATTACACGTGTTGCTGATACAAAAACACCTGCATGACCTTGGTATACAAGAATACCATTATTCCCAAGGTAAAAGGTACTCATCCACTGTAAGATTCTTGTTTCATCTTGTTTCATAGTTGTTTTCTCGAAATAAGGGGCCTTGTAAAATCGATGAGTCCAAGCACCGGGAAGGCACGCTGAGAGGAGCAAAGGGGGACACGAGGGAAGGGATTGGAATTGGGAAGAGAGGAAGTCATTTTTCAGCGTTGGAAGTAACGCGGTGAGTTCCCAGGCCTCTACTGCATTTCTGCCATAGTGAGGCGGGGGGACGTCGTAGTGTCTTTGCCCCAAACCGACTCGGCAGATGTAGCCTCTGCTGCCCCAAGCTTATGCCCCAAACTCCACATTCTACACTTTGAGGTGGTTCCGGAATGGTTCATTCAACCTCGAGCACCTGCGTGAGGCGCAGTTGCAAACACAATTTGGGACTCAAAGTGACACCACAGTGACAGTGGTAAGGGACTTATAGGTGTTATGTTTCAGAGTTTTAGAGTATCAGGACGCTTGGATACCTTCTGAAACGAACAGAATGTCACTTACCAGGGGAGCCGCAAATGGGGACTAGGATTTTGGCACACCTTCATGTGAGGATTGTATGACTGTACAGTGCAAAGGCTGTGGGGCCGTGAGAGATTTCAGCTTCAAGAAACATTTGCCGCTCTCCCGTTTGCGGTGGCAGGAAGTTTTTCTAATGACTCGCAACATTCATCGCACCACAACTCTCTTGTTCTAGATTGTGACCATTCTTGTTGTCAAAATTGGATTTGCCAGGAATCTCGAAAGCATGACGGCGAGTCCACCTGTTGCCATGGCGCTGTCGTTCCGGTCAATGCAGGGGTGGTCTTCATGAGGCTGCGCTCTTGTCATCGTTTCTTACATACTTTCATTGCAGAATATGAAATTACCAGTAGTAAAGAGTGTGTGCCGGATGATCACGTTCTGAATAATATTTCTGCTGCCGTAAGAGCAAGAGTACGAGCGACGATCCTATTATGATCTCTGTGTCTTCCTGAAGTAGTAAGTTCCCAATATTGGGAAGCTCCCGCTTGCTTCAAGGCCAACCTCCGCTGCAGTCCGCGCTATCCAGCATTTCCGGGCAAGAATTCTCTCAGGGCCCTGTTGGGGCCAAGCAGCCATGCACCTTGCTCTTTGACGATGGTGAAAGTGGCCCAGGCATAATCTTAGGTCACAATGAAATGGTTCCTTCCCTCGGGCCAGCGCCCTGCATTTCATGATTGCAACTGTAGATATCCTGAATGCAAGTTCTTGCAACATGCAGTTGAGCCCAAGTTTTTATGTGACGGCTCCGCTGCATGTGAAGCTGCTGCTGTTTCCCACCCAAGGCACTGGAGTCTTTTTGAACTTTGTGGACACCAGATTTCCTGCAACATGCTGGACCCCTTGAGCTTCGCATCCGCGGAGCCAATCCGCAAAGTCCTGAAGAAAGACCAAGAGGCGCTTGACGGCAAGGGCCATTCAATAATTGTAGAAGCTAGCGCAAGTCCGCCTATGCCCTTGCGCATAATGCAACGTGCTATGGGAAGCGCCTGAGGGCCAAGGGAGGGTCGGCGGGAAACGTGCGGGAACTGGGTTCATCGGTGAGATTTTTCGGGCCGGGAAGTGGCTGGGGAGATGGGAAAATGATCAGACCCTGGTCTGTCTGTTCGAGGTGTCTGCTGGAGGTCAAGGGACTTTGCACTGAACAATTTGAAGACCTGTCTTGCCAGGCACTACCGAGGAGTCCTTTCCTGCCTCTTAGTCGCCGGAGTGTGTGCAGGATATGGCCTGCGGTTCGCCTTGCTAGCATGTTCCATGCAGCTCTGAGGATACACCTGGACATTTCGGTTCCTTGGACACGAAGGATTATGGCGGGCTACTGCACCTGAAGTTCTTGCTGTGGCTGGTTTTGATCCTAGGCCAAGCAAAAGGCCACCAAATTTTTCGAAGGCATCTTCGGAACACCGCAGGTCGGCATGCAGAACTTGTGTCATGCTAACGTGTTTGCTGCTTGTACCTGGGCCATGCGTGGTGCAGGCTTGCATAGATGATGGCCGTGGTGATAGCATTGGGAAGTCCAGTGAGTTGTGATGCTGACAAAGCGGAGCGGAACTGTAATCTGCTGCTTTGTTTTGGACTCCAAACCTTGTCTGCTGCTGAGCAATGCATGTGTAGCTGTGAGAATCAGCCGCAGCCACTTGCAGCTTGAGTGTGACGTCGTAACACGCAGCCAAAATAGTTCGAAGACAGTTGTTCCAGCTGAAGCTCCAGTCTCAATTGTCTGAGTCAAGCTTTCTGACCCTGCCTTTCAGTTTAGCAGCTGTCGTGCAAGCTCTTAACACCAGAACGTTGGCGAGAAATTCACATAGCCATGGCCCGAAGAGCTCGAGGTGGTCGAGGGGCCAGTGGCCGAGGGAGGGGAAGCGGTCCCAGGCACAGGGGGTGATCTAGAATCTATAGTCCCCCTCAAGTAGATAGAACATGGCGGCTTTGGGTATATTGCAATAAGATCCCCATATACCCCGTATTCCATCTACTTAAGGGGGACTAGAGCTGGACCGTCCTTGCAGCAGTCACGTGATCTGCTGTAAGGAGGAAAAGCGGCATTGAAGAGTATGGACAAGATGAAGCCGACGAGTTCTTGGCCTTAGATGAGCAGTCGGGAGACGAAGCAATGGAAGATGAGGAAGGCGAAGAGGACATAATGGAACTGAAGCCTTTGGATGATGGTTCGCAAGGGTCCAAGGCCAAAGGCAAGAAGTCCAAGAAAGGCAAAGCTGACCAGCAAGATGAGGAGGCAGACCTTGCACCCGTAAGCAAAGGCTGGGGTCGTCATGACTTCTACGGTGGAGAAGATGCCGGCGACGACTCTGAAGGGGCAAGTGATGAGGACCTGACTTTCAAGGAGGCAAAGAAGCTTGAGGAGCCATCTCTTGGGCTTCATGTTTTGGGTTAGTCTTCATCTAAGTCGTATTTTATTTGGGGATACTATGGTACCCAATATAGAGTAAGATTCTGTCCTCCTTTTGGAGTATCGTATTTTATACAAGGAATACTATCTTCCTAGGTTCAACCACCACAAAAATGCTACTCATCTAACTTTATTCTCAAGAGGAACGTGTGTCCATAGAAACGCCCAGAGGAGCTGCGAGCGGCTCGCTTGCAAAGCCTCAGCGACCCACTTTCAGCGTTGCTTGGCCAAAGCGCCAGCGAGGGTGAGGGGCTCAGAAAGTATGTTTGTTTTGCCTTGATCGAGTCACCTCATGTTCATGTGCTAGTTTCCCACAATAGGGGCTCCCTAGCATAGACCCCAAAATACTAGACTCCTTACCTTGGGGACCCCCATAGTGGTACCCCTAATTTGGAGAAACCTCCATGTGTCTGTGTGTGTCCAAGCGGGGGATTGGCAAGGCGTGGAGCAGACATCAAAAGCTTCGGATGCGGATGCGGAGTTCGAGGCGGTCTTTGCAGAGCGGGCAGAGAAGCAAACAGTCCAAAGGGACTTAACGCAACTCTCCGACGCCAAGAGGCCTGGCGAACTGACGTTGCTGACTTGTTTCGGCTGTCCTTCTCTTCCTGAAGCATGCCCTGCTGCTTCAGGAAGAGTCTCTTGAAGAAGGAGTCACCAGAGCTGCTGCCGCTGTTGCAAAACTTCCAAGATAATGTCAAAGCTCTGCTGCCGCTGCTGGCCTTGCTGAAGCCAAGCGCAAAGAAGCGGCTGCCTTCTTCTGGTGCATCCTACCTGGAGGCATCTTGCAAACCACTGATTCAAGACCGTTTGAATAAGATAAGATGTATGCAGCTACACCGCAGGGTGCTTCATTGCTTGTAGGCGCGCGTCAGCCTGCTCTTGAACCATCTGGCCAACTTATCATTCTACTTGATGATGAAGGCGGAGGGTGGTGACGTTCGTTCGCATCCTGTTGTTTCGCAACTAGTGTGGTTGCGTGAACTGGGTGAGCTCATGAAATCCGTGGATGAGCGTGTGGGCACGAAGCTGAAGAAGGCTGTGAAGCAGGCAAGCAAGCTCCCAGACCTGGAGGATGTGCTACAGGAGGAGAGGCCTAAGAAGGATGTGACAAGCATGGAAGATAAGCCAGAGCCTGCCCAGAAACCAGCCCTGTCGCTTGCAGAGCGGTTAGCGCGGCTTCGTGGGAAAAAAGGATCAGAGCCAGAAGAGAAGAGGGATCCCCAGCAATCTGGAACTCCTCTTGTTTCTTCACTGTTGCGATTGCCCCCTTCCAGGCGTAGGCTAAATCGCAGTGCAGAGGGTCCGGCAGACTTGGATGAGATTGACCCGACCTTGGGTGCTTGGATGCCCTCGACGAGTTTGAGCCAACAGCTATCCGAGGTGCAGCAGCACCTCCGTGAGCGAAAGGCTAAGGCCGCACCACAGGCTTCCGATGTCAATCCGGAGCCTCGCGCCAGAGCCCACCGGGAGCGAGTTCAGACTGAAATCGACCCCAGGCAAACTGAGGATGTGCCTAAGCAGGAGAGCATGCAACATGCTCGGAGTGGTGGTGATGAAGATGGATTGGGAGAGGTCTTATCCGAAGCCAATGCAAAGTCCAAGGCACGGAAAGAACGGAAAGCTGCAGAGCTTTCTGCCAAGATGAAAGCTAAAGTTGCTCAGCAGTACCACCCGGAGAAGCCAGTTGAGGCTCGCAGTTTGTTAGCTCTGTCGCATGAAGGAGTTTAAGATCTTGGTAGCTCAGGGTCGGCGTGCGACCAGCAAGCACATCCTGGAGAACAGGGGACTGGTACGCCACCGCAGCTTGGCTTAGTTCCTGGCTTTTTCGGAAGGCTGTTGAAAGCCATCATCCCGGCGCCACAAATTCCGTGAATACTTATGCTCAGGCAAGAAGAAAGCAGGTAATGCACGCGTGGCAAACCGCCAGAAGTACGACAAGCTGGTGAAGCGCAGGAAGGGAGCCGTGCAGGAGATGCTGCACCAAAAGAAGAAAACTACCATAAGCATGTGAGCAATAGTCTGCTCTCCAAGTATCCCGCTTAATAACCCTGTAATAGTCCCCTACATAATCCCCAATGCAACTCCTTTAAGGAATTAGACTATAGCTCATATCATCATCTTAGCACGACTGACTACAATTCACAGCACACATGTCGGTAACCTTCCACGATATCCATGATACTCGCAGTACAAAACCTTGTAGCCATTTTCAATCATGCGGTCAGGAGATGCGCGAGGGAGCCGCCGATGGTGCAACCTACGACGGCGAAGCAACTGGCTTGCGCACCAACCTCCGGAAGTCCATGAAGCTGGGCTAAGCCAGGCAGGGGGGGGGGGGAATAACTTGCCTTCTTGCAAGAAGCTGCTGGAGCATGTGTGCGGCAAGTCATCTAATACAGCAATCAACACCATAATTTATCAGTGCAACCAAAGATACTGAATTCCTAGACATGACATCTTCTGTAGTGTGCTACATGTCATTTAGTGTGCCCAGCCACATCTCTACAGACAGTTGCGAGGCATGCCGCACCTGCCTGCCGTCCTTTGCAATGGTGCTCGGTCCTGAAGTAATTTGCAGCATCCAGCACCCAGACCCCCTAAAGGACCCAAAAAATGGACACGCCCTAACACTTCAATGTAGTAATGGGTTCATATTGGGGGCGCCGCAATTTTTGGGATCCTTTAGGAGGTCTGGGGAGGGGGTTGAAGATGAAAGCCTGGACACGGAGCCTGTAAGGTGGAGGCCTCTGGCATGCGGAATCGTTTCACTTCGCAACAGAAAAAAGCGGCTTATGTGGACCCATGATAAATAACCTCCCTCCTTTTAAGGGCCTTAATGTTAGGATCCGTATTATAATCCCCATTAAGGGGAGGAGGGTTTATTAATTAATTGGGGACCTACATTGCGATGCAAGCACTTAAGAACGGTCACATGCAGGTTCTCTCCGCTAGTCCGCTGCTTAACTGAGATGATCAGCATGTATCCACATGATTTTGCAGCAGCTCAGCCACATGCAAACACAGGACAGCCTCAGTATTGACCCTCATTTTGGCACAGCGGTTGTTGGCATCTTCCGAGAAAATAGAGGAAAACCCTTGACATCGCAACTGCTGTAACAACCTTCAACTAATATTCGCTACTACTGCGCTTGCTAGTACTGGTAAGGGCAATAGTGAGAGTGACACTAAACAACATCACAGTACAGTGATAACATCATTTTTGCTTTCCTTTATTTCTTGTATAAGAGAACCTGTTCGATACCACTTTTGGGGGCTTTCAAAGTACAACCCAGAGAGGATTAGCCCCTAAACCCTAAACCCTAAGCCCTGAGCCCTAAACCCTGGTGGATGTGTAGCTTACGCCAGCTTCGCCATGGACAGCTGCGGTCGCGGATCGCATGCAGGCAGCGCTTCCTGCAAGATTCCTAGGGTTTAGGATTTAGGGTTTTAGGGTTTAAGGTTTTAGGGTTTTAGGGTTTAGGATTTAGGGCAGCTTTTCAGTTAGTTGTCTTCCTATTACCAGGCTTTAAGGTTGCGGGGCATGGGTCTTCTGCCATGGTTCCATGCTATTACTCACACACCCCCGGGATCCCTTAGAGCATCCCCATTTTGAGAACTCGCATTCTTCATACGATTTAGGCGGGTGGTAGGGACCGAAGATACTTACCATAATCCCTTGGGGTCATACTAGTGAGTGGGGACCTGACCTAAGTTATGATCCACAACCTAGGTGATTAGTTTTATTTGGGGAGATCAGGGTGCCCAATACAGAGTAAGATTTAACCTTCTGTTGGGGTATAGTATCTTATATAAGGAATCTAATCTCATTGGGTTCAACCACGAAAAAACATTACTCAGGTAGGAAAACGCTCCTGTTATAGCCAGGTGTCAATCTACATCTCCCTCTAGCTACTATGGTTATACTATTTTAGAATATTTTAGATAACATCAGTTTTTTTGCGCTATGCCTAGATAGCCCCTACCCTACACGCCCTAAACCCTTAAACCCTAAATCCTTATATCGCCCTGCTACTGTTGGCGAGGCGGTGGCCAGTGCGAAGGCGCCAAACAAAGGCAAGGCGCCAGTCCGGTCTCAGAGGAGCCGGACAGGGTTTAGGGTTTACGATGTAGGGTTTGGGGTTTAGGGCTTTGGGGTTTAGGGTTTCTCCCCCCTAAGCCTTAAACCACTAGAATCCCTCAAGAGGGCCCTCACAATTTCATGGAGTCCGGGACTCTTGTTTGTTATGGTCTTGAGGGAGGAAGTTGGATTCGTGTGATGGGGATCCTTCTGAGAAGGACTGCATTCTTGGCATGGCGATGCCTGGTGGGCTTTTACTTCCAAAATAGTCGGATGCCTCAAGCGATGGTTTCGTACAAAAGTTTGCTGATTGCTCTTCACGCCAAGCATGGGAATAATGCAGAAGCTTTAGTTTGGTTATCGCAGGAGCAGACGGCATCTGCATCTAGGCAGAGATGCTGCGCCTTCAGGAAGGTATCATGTTTGGATGATGGTTCGTGAGGTGTTGCTATACCTGCCACGATGCTTGCATGGGCCGTGAGCCCTTGCCTCATCTAGCCTCTGCTTTCAAGAGCTCTGCCATGCTTGGCCAGATGTAAACTGGATTAATGTTAGGGATCCTTTATACTTTTTGGGTTATGGGATTCCTTATATTTATGTAAAAAGGATCCTTTTTTCTTCCTGGGTTAATGTGGGCTAAGTAAACATCTTCCCATTACTGGTATTATGGCTCACAGCAAGCTCCGTTCCTATCATCAGCAGTGCATGCTAGCCTGAAGGCATCATAGCTCAATCCTATGATGTGCATGTCAGAATGAAGGAGTGAACGAGTATTTCTGAGTTCATCACAAGCACTGGGTGGATGGTTGTTTGAAATGGCCGTGCCGCGACCAGCTGCATTGGGGAGCAGGCTGACGCTTCTTTGAGAAGAGTAGAGTAGAGGGTTGCCGAGAAACTGTGCCGACTGGACATTCTGAGCCATACAACTGGGTTGCTGTTAAGGAACTTAAATTAAGTTACCATAATGGGTATATATATGGTAAATAATAGGGTTGCCCCAATATAGTAACTTGATTTAAGTTCCTTAACAGCAACCCAGACAACTGATGAGCTTGACGATGCAGGCAGCCGCACTCAGGCTTCTTTTACGCGGCCCCGTTGGCTTCGCCTTTGCGGCCTGCCGTTGCATATCCCTATGCTCAAGGACGTGACCTTGGCCGAAGCCTGCTTCAACTTCCATAGCTGCTCTTAGACCATTGACATTCAACGGATTTGCAGTCAAGAACACATTGAAATAGTAATAGTAGTAGTAGTAGTAGTAGTAATAGTAATAGTAATATAATAGTAATAGTAGTAGTAAGAGTAAGAGTAAG